GGGTTCGAATCCCGCTCGTGACATTGACTTTTTTATCTCAACTTAAAACCTTAATTAATTCTAATTTTTTCCCTTACTATTTCTTAGTGGCAAATAAGTAATGATGATATGTTAATAAGTTATATTATATAGTTCGGGGTAACCGAAGTACTTTGTTTGTTTGCGAATTAAACGGATCTTTCGAAATGTTATACATGCAATTATCCACTATATTTTTTCTTAATCTTTTTATGTAAGGTTTGGCTTGAAATGAAAAAGTTAGTGCCAAGAGCGGGATTCGAACCCACGGCCTTCGGCTAAATACCGGCTGCTCTACCACTTGACTTCGATCCACTTGGACACCAACTCCCCGTCTCAACCTACAACCATTCGAAGTTTCCCTCCTTTTGCCATTTTTCAAATGTCGTATAATGAGGGTTCAATTCTCGGCAACTTATGAAGTGGCCCAGGGGAGCAGTCAGTTTTACTTATTAAATCCACTATAATTAGTTCCTTCAATTAATTAATCTTTTTATGTAAGGTTTTGGTTGTTAGGTTTTACCTTGATCTTGTGCAAAAATAAGATACGATTAAGCTACATTGTTAACAATGCCACGATTTAATATATTCCAATTTTAGTCGAAATAGTAAATCGAGAGATTTTTTGGCAGTTTGTTGAATTGTGATTTAGCGGATCGTGGACCTTTGGCCAGTAAGAAGGTTTGCGGTTTTCCCTTTTTTCCTTTTCTTGCCCAACCGAGAAAAACAAGTTTGTTTTTATTACGACAGAAGAAAAGACGTCTTTAAAGAAGTGATCACACCCTAAGCCTTCACGGGGACGAGAATGGGCCGAATTGCTCTCCCAAGCCTGGCTAAAAAGGAACAGGGACTTTTAACGCCAAACAGGGAAAAATCAACAATTCAGCTGAAAATTTTCTATTTCATGTGATTAACGTTAAGACGGAACAAAATTTATTTTTGTATTTTTTGTAATTAAAGTAATAAAGAATAAATAACTTAGTAAATTTAACTTTTTAATTATGACCTTATGAGCCCTAACTTTTGAACAAATGTTATCTAACTCTTAATTAAAATGATTTATAAAAAATAGAGCAACACACACCGGTAGTAATTAATAATTGTTAAATGAGAAACACGATCTTATCTATGGTTATTACTGGCTACTTAAACGTCCAGTGGATGATGCCAAGTTCACATATTCTGGCTGAAATTTGTCCCATCCATCTTTGTAAAGCAAAGTGGAAGTCATTATCGTATTAAAGTTGGGAAACTTTGGTATAACAAGTTGCGAATCTTAGGGCGGAATCTCCCATAGAGAATCCTCGGCTGGCTGGCTAGACTGGACTTCAAAACATATTGTTGCTTTAACTTACACCTGTTTAAAACTTGGAACAAAAAATTTAATCGAAACTATTTACTTGTATGAAGTAAAAATAAAACAAAACCTACGCAACATTTTTGGAAGCGATAAATTAATGTATTAAAACATTCGCATCGACCACATTTTACACGCTCTATTTTCACAGTTATAATTTTTATAAAAGTTCAATAAGTTATTCAAAAATCAAATAAAACCCACAAAGAGTGTTTTATTTCTTTTTTGTCTGATATGCATTTTAACGTATGTTTACTGGAAATGTAAAAGGTATAGGTCATTTTCATTTTTCATCGTAATCATTTTTACTCGACGTTATTGGTATATTTAATTAATTAAATTTAGCACAATTTGTGTTTTTAATTCAATTAAATGAAGTCCTCTTAGCCGTGTACTTACTGCAATGTTTAAACGAAGAGCTTTTGCACAGAAAACATTGTTTACACTTAATTAATCTTTATGTAAGGTATTGGTCGAGATAAAAAGTTAGTGTCACCAGCGGGATTCGAACACACGACCCTCCGCTCAATACGCCGCTACTCTACCACTTGAGCTATCGTGACTTCACGTGCGTCCACTAACTTTTTATCTCAACAAATACCTTACATAAAGATTAATTAATTTATATTAATTATTATTTTTAAATAAATATGAATTAATTAAAAAACGTTATTCGGTCAATCGGACCACGAACTCTAATGAATTGTTTACACTTTTTTTTCTACGATCAGTAATTGTTGAAAAAACCATGGGGCACTAGTGTCACACCTTTATATAAATATGATCATTGCGCTGATCTACAAATAGAGTACAGTAAATAAATTTCTTGGAATTAGAAAATATTTTGGTTTTACCTTGGTCACCCGATCACTCGCTAAACGAATTGTGCAAGTGTCAGCGAAAACAATAGTTAGTCAGAAAATAAAAACAACTGTCCTATATACAGGGTGATTCATTTTTTGACGAACCATTGGAAAATCAACGCGGGTGCGTTTAAATCTGACTCGAAGCTTATTTCCTTTGATTAATACGTTAAAAAAAGGAAGTGAGTCAATTTTCGGTGCTCCTAGGAAAATCAACGTTGGTGCGTCTAATTATGACTCGGCAGATTTTATTTTATTAGTCTCGTACCAAAAAATAGGCGAGTCACTTTTCGAAGCACCATTCGTTACAAATTAGTTTTAGTAGGTTGAAAGATAAATTAACGAAACCAATATTATTAAAACATTATTCAAACACAATGTAAAAATTTAAAAAACAATTCTTCACAAATTAATCTGATTAAGGTTAAGAGTATTTTTTTCGTCCGATCATCGTTTTACGATTAGGCTACTGTGTTGCAGCAAATGGAGGTCTGTTCGAACAATTATTATAATGATTTTGAATATTTTTGATTTGTTGACAAAGGAGATTGTTACAGTTATTGAATTTTTTTACTTTACCAGAAAAAATACTCTTAAACCTTAATCAAATTAATTTGCGAATAATTTTTTTTTAAATTTTTACATTGTGTTGGAATAATGTTTTAATGATGTTGGTTTTGTTTATTTTCCTCCCAACCTACTAAAATTAATTTGTAACGAATGGTGCGTCGAAAAGTGACTCGCCTATTATTTGGTACGAGATTAACAAAATAAAACGTGCCGAGTCATAATTAGTCGCACCAACATTGATTTTCCTATGGTGCACCGAAAATTGACTCAGTTCCTTTTTTGAATGTTAAAAGCAAATGAAATAGGCCTTGAGTCAGATTTAAACGCACCAACGTTGATTTTCCTATGGTGCACCGAAAATTGACTCACTTTCTTTTATTAACGTATTATTCAAAGGAAATAAGCCTCGAATCAGATTTAAACGCACCCGCGTTGATTTTCCAATGGTGCGTCAAAAAATGACTCACCCTGTATTTCTTGCGATGGATTTTTTCCACTGTTCTTTGGAATAAATTGTTAATACTAGAGTTAGCATAGTATCAGGTTAGCATAGGTCAAGATGATTAATAGCATTGTTATTGATTCGTTCATTTGATAAACTGGTAAAATGTAAGGAATAAAAAGGTGGATAATTTAATAATCTATCTATCATGATAATTTGTTGTGCTCCCATTAGAAACTGGTCGTTGTATTAATTAATACTTACGGATGGTTCGTGTTTATGCAGATCATTCATCATCAAGGATCGATCTTTTTCCGATCGGTCAAATTTTCAACAAAACGGACGTATAATGAAAGCCGCAAGAAACAAAACGGCCAAAGGGTTTGAGTAATAAGATGATTTCCGCGTTGGTGCTGCTGTGAATTCAAGATTAGACGTCTCCCTCCTTCCTGTGATAATTAATGTTTGCAATCTTAGAGCTGAGTGAGATAACCGGAGAATTACGAATTACATACGCGGGTAATAAATGACGTTACCACCAAGACCAATTACGCCGAAAGTTTTACTAATGACATTGAACACAATGCTAACAAATTCCAAACACAATAATACAATTTACATGTTAAATGATTTTTACTTTCCAGTTCCTAATTACGCCCTTATAATACACTGTCCATCAAAATAACCGACCTTGTTTAAGAATTACGATAAACTTCAAGGCCTTTGTATTATATAGCGTGTATTCTAATGGTAGATGTAAAATGCACTGTCCATTAAAAAAATCTATAAACTTGGTTTTTGCACAAAAAAATGGTCAAATATTTTCTCAGCCTTTTTAGGTAACAACCTGTGCTAGGTCTAATTTTTAGAAAATTTTACGCTGAACAAGATGCCTTTTTAAATATTTCTTAGCTTCAATTATACATCAGTACATTCAAAATTTTAAAAATAATCAATTTTTTGCCCTTTTTCAAACTTCAAATTGAGCTGTGGAGCCAGAAAAGCGACGCCCTTTAGCGATGGATAAAGAGAGTGATCGATTTTTTTCATAAGCACGTAAAAACCATGTTTTGCCTAAAAATCGCGAAGAACTTGAAAACGGTTGAGAAATCTTGCCAAGTTGATTGTACCTAATTGAAAGCTTATTAAAATTTCCTATCGATTGATAAAGGCCGTCGCTCCAGGACGATTTTCTGACTCCACAGCTCAATATGAAGTTTGTATAAAAAGTGCAAATATTGACATGTGCTAGAAGTTTTCAATTTACCGAGAATGACTGAGTCTAGTAAAACATTTAAAAAATCCGTCTTGTTCAGCATACAATTTTCTAAAAAATTACGCTTAGCTCAGAACTGTGACTTATAAGGCTGAGAAAATATGCATTTCTAAAATTTGCCAATATTCGTGCAACATAGTTTTTTTTTTTTTTTTGATGGGGAATGTATAAATTTTAACGATAATAAAGTGTCTAATGCACTAAATGTAGTCCATTCTTTCTCAGATCTTCACTAATTTCATTCCAATCATTCAAGAGAAGAAAAGTGTAGCCACACACACATTTTTTCCTTTATCAATCTATCGATCTCCACCTTTATTTTCTTCTTCCAATTACATCTTTTTATTTTCACTTACCAGTTTACTTTTTAGGTAGGTAGAGATTCGAAGAAAAATAAGTTGCATTTATTTGGCTAAATATACCTAAGGTAGCATAATAATCGTGTAAGCAAATTAAATCAATAAACTTTTTTACTTATTCAGATATCGTGAGGTGCGGTCTGGTGTGATGTAGGTGAACATTTTCTTTATCGTGCCAACGTTTCGATCTTTATTGAGATCATCTTCAGGGCCTGGGATTTATAAACATTGTTTATATTTAACAAATACATGTAGGATGTGGAAAAAAGTGAATTTATACAATGCAAAAAAATATATTTTTTATATACAATCAAAGTATTTCTACTCACTCAATGCCTTTGTTTTCTGCGTAATTGTGCCATTCTTGAGTTTCGTGTTGACAGTGCCAGTGAGATATTGGTGTTTTATGTTTATATACGTTGGATTTTGAAGAGGTGGGGAAGAAAGTCGGTATAGGCCTTGAAGATGATCTCAATAAAGATCGAAACGTGGGTACGATAAAGAAAATGTTTTTCTGAAACCCACATCACAGCAGACCGCATCTTACGATATCTGAATAATTATCGACTAACGGTCACTAATAACCACAAATTTTTTACCTTTTTCAAAAAAGAAATGTCACAATCATTTATCTTTCTTTTTTTGTTTAATAAACAATTTCACTTTAAAACGTGTTTAAATTTGTACGACTCGCTATATTTTCATCAGTTTATTGAATTTGGCCTATTTTTTTATTGAACTAATGAACCAATTGAGCGTATAATTCTTATGATATAACACGTATTTTAGTTTGTTGTACAACTGTTTTACAAGCATGATTTAAAATATGAATTTCGCACCTTAGCTTATTGATCCATGAGTCATCCAATCGAGCTCTGTTGTATTCTTATCATGTTGTAATTTCTAATATTACGTCTGACTTTAATTATTTTTTTGTGTAATAGTGAAAACTTATCTTACTTTACGAATAATTTGTGTCTTCTCTAATTTAGCGATGCTGGCTTTATTGTCTTTATATTCTCCTCTCTCCGTCGCAATCTTTTCTCTCTATTTCTTAAGTATTTTGTTTTTAGCACATTCTCGTAATTTAAGTTTTTCTTGCTTGCTCTGATTCACTTTCAAGCTCTCTGGCTGTCTCACTCGCTCTCCTCTCTCTCTCTCTCTCTCTCTCTCTCTCTCTCTCTCTCTCTCTCTATCTATCTATCGATCTATCTATTTATCTATCTATCTATCTATCTTTGAATTTCTCCCTCTCATAACACGCTCCAATTTTGCTAGGTAAAATGAAACGTTCAATTCAATTATTTTTCAATCGCTTCATTCTCTCTCTCCCTCCGTCCTTATTATTTGTTTATTATTACACGAAATTTATCGCCTCTACCTTAATCCGCGTTAATTTATCAATTCATTTCATATATCTTTCTTTTTTTACTCAATTTTCTTTAGTAAGTGCAAGATCACTCAATTTACAAGATTGTTGTGTTTTACGTACACGTTTTTATGAGGTATGAGTACGTTGCAACCAATTTCTGTACAAAGATACGGTTCAAAGAAGGCGGAATAAGTTAATAACTTCTAGATTGTCTCGGTGTGCAATTACAGTTTCCAGGCTACGGCCCGTTATCGGATCTCAGATTAGGCTGGAACAGGGCTATCGTCTGTAATAACCCTTTTTGCTTTGACACGCGAATAATAAATTCATCCAGAGTTGATGGCTTACGGCCGAAACGCCACGGCGAAGTTTATGACCCTGATTTATTAGCGCTCATTGATGGTCGATTCCTTTTAATTTCTCCTTTTGGATTAATTTACGTTTATTAGGTTTAATTAGACTTTTAACTTTTAGAAAAAGACACGAAACCGTGGGAGAAATTACAATGAGCGGAAAATAGTTCAAGGCAATATAAATGTTAAATATTAGATGAATTGTGACTTCTTTTGCCCTTGATATTTGACACAACTCATCATGGTTTAGAACTGTATGTAGATGTAAAATCTTAACGTTCCATCTGTCAGAGTTCCGTTCACTTTACACCACTGTGCACATGCTGCTTCTTTGCCTGTCTGCACAGTGTGGGGGACATTATTACTGCTTCTTTCTAGCTAAAGTGGTTGTGTTTGGGTGTCGTCCTAGGCGTAGCCAAGGGTATTTCTCTAGGAAACTGTGAAACATCAAGGAGATGTTTCCCAGTACTTTTAAAGTTATCGTTCAGTCCTCCCTGACAGGCTGTTACTGTCATTTTTCTATCAGGTAAAATTTCTATCTTCTTATAATACAATAATGGACGTATCTTTTTTACAACATATACTACCTCTTATCACTCTATCTTCTCTTCTCAAATACTCAACTGTTCGAAGCTTTTATATACAAAGCCACCGCAACCTATTACAAAAATACTGCAAGTGGAGAATCAAACTGAACGAAAGAAAATAATTTCAAATTAATTCTTAGTTTTAAGAGTGATTGTATTAAGAATGAATAGTTGTTATCGCCCATCAGCTTAAGCTCCGCTCATTTTTATCCAGTGTTACAAATGCACTAATGGCGGACACTATTGCCGCGTTTCTTAAGCTCGGGTGCCGTCCTAGATTTAGCATAGTCGTTGTAACGGGTATAGAATGATTTACTAAGGAATCTTCAGATTATGCCAGGATTTATTACCTTATCATCCAATCCTATATGAAGAGAGTCGCGAAAGCCGAGTGGTTAAGGCGTCAGACTCTCGGCTAGTAGATCCCGCGGTCGTGGGTTCGATCCCCACCGTCGCCTCTGGACTTTTTCTGACGCCTAAGGGGCCCGGTGGCCGCAATTGAAAGAAATTGACACGGCACACATCAATGGAAGGGGCGGGATCGGATCTCAACGACCCTCAATTTGGTCCCAACCCCCTTCTCAAAAATGAGTTTCTTCGATGGAAGAACACCAGTACAACGGGAGCTGAAGTTCACATTTGTGTTGCGAGCCCTCCCCCAAAATATGGAGCCAGGGATAAAGTACAATAAGCTGTACAGCTCAGCTGCAGTGCTCAGAAGGGAACTCCTCCAGTCCTTGGTATAAAAAAAAAAAAAAAAAAAATCCTATATGATAGTCCTTTTATTAAATGCAGTAAAAGTAAGTTGAAGTCTCTCAAGGTATCTTTTGGTCGATTCTGTTTTCAATATACACTTCCAACATTCCACGTTGCCGTAGCTAACCTCTCTTCTCGTTCCAATCTCTCTGTTGTAATGTCCTACCTTTACAGTCGTGAAATTTGATACTACTGGATATTACTGATTTAGAATCAAGCTGAAAGAACTAATACGTATTCAAATCATATTCGCAGAAAGATGAAAAGGTGAACTGCACGGAGTGGAAAGTATTACCAAAGAAAATTTAATAATTTGAGTGAGGATCAGGTAAATGGTCATCGGATGAAAAAAAACGTGCCGAGATTTCGCCATATCAGGGTAGTAATGGTCCTGTTCAAGATTTACAAAAGTGGAAGAGTTTAAAAAATTTTTAATGGTCTTGGTACTTGCATATTAGCCAAGGAACGTGATATCATATGCAATGCGTATTCATTTTTTTTTGTAAGAGAGAGGTTGCGAGAAAAGAAGGTCCATGTACGATGTTGGGAATCGAACCCACGAACGCTGAGAGTCTAACACGCCATCCACTCGGCTACCACGGCCCTCTAAATTTGAAATTGACAAGCATTCTTACATGCCTCAGAATGTGGCATAATTAATTTTAAATATAAAAGTCGGTGGACATTACAAAGCGTTTTTTATAGATGACGAAACTTGTTCTCAAAGTTATATAAGACGAAAGCTCGGCACATTTTTGTTATTTTTTTCATCCAATGACCATTTACGTAATCGTCACATAACTTGACACACATTTAAAATTTAATACGTTAAAGGCAATCTTTTTTTTTTTAATTTCAATAGGGAATTTAAACGTTGTTTCAGAAATAAATTTTTTATGTGTGATTTTTAGCTATCTGTTTTATTGGATTTTTGAACACAATGAAACAAAAAACTTGATATGCTTGTAAATTATATTTAGGTTAACATTTGTTTTACTGTAGTTTGAAAAAACAAACTCAGGATTTCATCCGATCATGATAAATAAAATAATAAATTATGGACAAGGGCTTTCTTTTAAACAAGAATTTTAAAAACCTATCAACGGTTATATTTGTCGAATATATTTTCTAAATGTACTGTTATAATTGGGTATACATTGGGTATAAAATATTAAAAGAGGATTTATTTATTTTTAAACGCACTTTCCTGTACTATCCTAAATCAGATTTAGGTACTTTTAAATCGTTTATAACCCATTCAGACCGCAGTAATAACCTTATTGACAGCTTATCAATAATGAGGTTTCATTATATTTATCAGTGCGTGAGATTTTATGCATGAATCAAACAAACATATTTGCAAATGCAATTAATTAATAACTTTTTGGTTTATATTTTTGTAAAGGCTTATTGTAAAGTTTTTACACAATTTTATGTCTATTTATTTTCAGTAGGTAGTTTGCTCGTTAATGCGAAAAATTCACTAACAGTATCATCATGATTGAAGTTCAGAAAGTTGGCCCTTTGAGCCGTTATGGTTGCAAGTAGCTAGGAGAATCCAGGGGTTGAAGAAATTAATAAAATCCTTCTTCTTTGTTGTGGTCAAGATCTTATCGAGAAACTAAGGAAGGACATGCCTGTTGAATATTCAAATTCTACTGTAAATATACCACGCCCGTGTGTGTAAAATATCTACGTATTCAGGATGATTTGCTATATGAAGATGATTAACACCAGGCTATGAATGTAATAAAATGCCGGAAAAGTTTTAAACTTCTTTCGTTGAGAAAGTACGGACGTGTCATTGTTGTAGTTGTTTTAAATTACACATTTTAGGATTAAAAATTACGTTACAGCGACGTAAAATATTTACGGGGCATAATATCAAAACTGTTTAGGTTGTTTATTTCAAGCCAATTGTACTCAAATTGGTCACAATGACTTATTGTACGACGTATTTGTCTGAATTTCCATTTCCTACTTGTTGTCGTGAATATATTCTGGTTTGTTAATCCTATAGCTTTAGTTTTATTTTTTATCGTAATCGTTGTTATGTACTATTATCGGTATGTATGAATTTTTTTGGC